ACACAATATATGTTATTGAAAAGAGTTTGAGTATATCTTCTCATTTCAAGAAAAATAATTTATCAAGTTGGCTGTATGGACGTAATATCAACTATAAGGTATCATTGGATTCAGGTAATTAGAAGAGTTAAATAATGCACTAAAATATAGGATCTCTAATTTGAAAATCGAAAGTTGATGTCATTTTCGGAAAAATCATGGGTTAATTATGTTTTCAAATATGTTCGTTGTCATCTATGTATTAGTGAGCATATTGAATGATCGAAATTTTGATAATATAGCTAGAGAAACAAAGGAGAAAAGGGGTGTGTACCATAGGAGTTTGTGTCACACGGTGCCTATATACGTATCTCGAAAGTCATAATTATCTGTTAATAATTAGTCTTTGACGCCCATCTGTCCTTAAAAAAAACGTTATATTGCTTATCGACGTCCCTATGAAAGTCAAGTATCAGCATCACATTCGACTGTCGTTTTCATAAGTATTTCTCGTCTATTATAACGAATTTGGAGTAGAATATACGTTTCTCAACAACTTATTTGAAATAACGTCAGTCGAGAAATCATCTGTTGACTGTTAATTTTTGAACTATGCATATCTAACGCAGATGAATGCTGGGCTCATTCGGTCCGACATTTGCTTCAAACGGATATCGCTGTTTTGTAACTGTTCTACATTGATGAAGGTGAAGCCCAATAGCCCCAAAGCGGAGCCGTCATTAGGTGGTAAAGCGTTACCTGGCTCCAATTTGAATACAGTTCGATATGTAGAAAAGAAACACTTGCAATCAGTATTCATTTACACGAATAATTGCATTCATTTCGGGTGGCTGTAATTCAATTTTCAGCATGGCATCAGCCAGGAAAGTAGTTGTTTTTTTCCCGAAATCCCGTCGTTATAACATATTGTGGAAATAATACTGAGAAACGAGTGGTCAAGAATTTATAATCAACTAGGTATCTTGAATATGAATGGTGAAACATCCATCATGAAGTATGAGCTGATTGGAACAACTTCGATTACGCCACAGTTACAATGTGTCCCATTCTCCATGAAACACCCTTTAGGAGGACTCACCCTTCAATTGTATGAATTACTATTTTGAGAACTGTAAATACCCAGTTGTGTCACTCTGAATAAATATTGCTATTTCTAAACAGAACTCATTCATACCAATTTGCCCATGTCTTTGAGTCTGATTTTCTCTTTGATAGGTGAACTAGAATTTGAAATCAATTCGTCACTAACCATTGTATAATTTAGTGGATGATCTAAGATGGAAAGAGACTGCATTTTCAGAGTGAAAAAAACATGCATCATAATTATGCCATTGAAAAAAAACTGGAATATACAGGGTATGCGGAGATAAAACCGACCAAACTCATGGGGTTATAGGGGCTGGCAATATGATTGCAAAATGCCATATACAAGCGTCCAAAACCGCTTCGTTACTGAAAATTAAAATAATAATTTATCACTGAATAACTGAAATTGTGCCAGAAACTAATTCAACAAATTCCTATAGTATTTTATCCGTAGATTTTGAATCTCACAATAACTGAACATAGGAAAAAAATAATATTACGGGTCCTAATATTGATTTTGATCAAAGGGCTACTTGTTGAAGCTTTTCAGTTCAATTCATGTACAAAGTTTGAATCGAATCGGGTAATCCCTGTATTCAATATGGCAAATTGAATTTTTGTCAAAATCCACAAATCACTCTGTATGTCAGTAACGAAGCGGTTTTGGACATTTGTTTATGGCATTTTGCAATAATATTGGCAGTCCCTATAACCTCACAAGCCTTGTCGGTTTCATCTCTGGGCACCCTGTATATCTTCCTGAGTAAACGCGATCTATATATGGATAACTAAAAATGGCACGATTCTGAAAATTCGTAGGATTGGAGGAGGAAACATGGAGAATCCAACTAAAATATGTTAGTTATTGTGAAGCGTCCGGTTTTTCAGGAAGTGACGTCATCTTTGTTATTTTCAATGGGAAATTCTGTATTTCACAAAAATTTTGAATTTCTCTGATGATTCTGATTCGAATTCATGTATCATACCCCATAGACAAAATTAACCGTTTTTGAGTTATTCGATCAGTTTTTCTAGAGAAAAAAAAATACATATATCACATTCGCCATTTTTATGTGAATTGTAATTTTGAGTGATATTCAATGATTAAATCGTGAATATTGATGGTTGAACGGATCACTCATCATAATCAAAACTCACTGAATAATTTACAGGGTGCGCAGAAAAGTGGGTCCAACGAGTGAATGAGAAACATTGAAAATTTCAAGTTATTCAAATAAACACCTCATTGTTTTCTCATAATTCAATTCTATAATAAAAACGAACCCTAGTTCTGATTCGCTTCCCTTCACCCAAAATCCATAATTTTAGAGATATTCCATAAATGATACTTTATTCTGTAATAATTGCCTGTAATGTTGGATTTTTCTAGTAGGCTGTGCAAAATATACGGGGTGAATCTGAAAATGAGGTTATCTTTTTAACAGGATATATAGTTCTCCAAAATGAGTTGTTTGGCAAAATATTTAAGATAACGGAGGTACAAGTATTTAAAGGTTTAATGCAGTTTCCAACAATAAAACATGTTGTTTACATTTTCTCTAAGAAAAATAAGAACCCTACAATTGCATTATTTCATCAGATAAATCAATCAAATACCTCTTTTCACATTTTCAACCTATTCGTTTTAAAGTGATTTTCTTATCATATTTTCTTTAATGAATGTTAAATTGATAAAATTAGATTTTTAATGTACAAAACCTTGAAATGCCTCTACCTCCGTTATCTTACATTTTTACATAAACAATTCTTGGCCAAAGAATAACTTATTTTGGCGAGATGTATACACTGCTAAATGAAAAACCTCACTTTCAGATTTACCCTGTATATATATACAGGTGAATTAGAGATTCATCATTTGCAAAAGTGCGAAATATTGCTCGTTTTCGGTACAATAAAAAATATTTCGTTCATGTAGGCATAAGTGATTCGAGGCGAATTGAATAAAACTACATAAAACTAACTTATTATACCCAACAACAGATGATAATTGTAAAATTGTTCTATCCGTCATTCGGTTGCCCACTTACGAGCAACCCTCAGAAGTCTTCGAGAGTCTTGTGCGAGCAAGGAATGACGGGGGCCTTACCTTTTAACGTGTGATCCCAAACACTTTCTTGGGCCATCAGAAACATTTCTGCAGTCGATGGTAATCGAACCCACGACCGGCAAGCGAATGCAGATTAGAATATTGACACTCTGTCCGCACGGCTACCTGGCCCCAACAACAACTTCAATTCATTTTTTGACAGTATTTTGCACAGCCTACTACTAGAAGTTCCAAAATTTCAGGTAGTTATATTATGCAGAATTGAGTAATATTTTTGGAATATCTCCAAAATTATAGGTTTTGGGTATAGGGAAGTAAGTTGGAACTAGGACTCATTTTTATTATGAGTTGAAAAAATTGAGATTTTAAATGTTTCACATTCACTCCTTGAACTCACTTTTCTGCGCACCCTGAAAATTATTCAGTGTATGTGATCATGGTGAGTGATCCGTTCACCCTTCAATATTCACCATGCAATCATTGAATATCACTTTAAATCGCAATTGACATAAAAATGGGATATGTTTGACAGCCTGCCTATGTCACTTTTTCTAGAAAAACTCGAATAATTCAAAAATGGTCAATTTTGTGCAGAGGGTATAATACATGAATTTGAATCAGAATCATGAGAGGAATTCAAGAGTCGTAAAATACAGGGTGTCCCATTGAAAATACCAGAGATGACGCTACTTCCGGAAAAACCGGAAGCTTCACAATAACAAACATATTTTAGTTGGATTCTCTATGTTTCCTTCTTCGAGCCTACGAATTTTCAGAATCGTTCTATTTTTATTTCTCCAAATACCGGGTGGTCCACTCAAGACCATCCACCCTCAATAATAAATATCAGAAATAATGATTTTACAAAAAAAAACAACGAAACACGTCGGATTTTGTTTGGAGGAGGGGACACCGTTTGACGCAAAAAAAAAAGATACAATAGCGTTAATATTCTTTACTTCAACCCTTCACTCTCCAGAGCAACCCCTTCTATATAATTTGAATAGGGTATAATACGGGTCATGTTATACATCATTGCAATTCTGACACAATAGCAGTGCAAAATTTTTTGAATTGCAACAAACCGTTCTCGAGATATTCGATATTGAATTGAATATCTTCAATTGATTGTTAATACATGAATTTACAGAATGACTATCCCAAAATTTCTCAAACGAATGAATAGGTCGTAAAATGTCAGCACGCTCGCCGGATTTGGCATTCAATGATTTTTTCTTTGGATATACTCTACCACTGTCTGGGATTCAGTGGAGGTAATCTTGAATATTTGTCGTGAATACCTATTTAATAATAATCCGTTCACTCACAATTAGAAAAAATACCTTTTGAATACAAATATCTCGGTAACGGCTCGCTGCAATTCAAAAAATTTGCACTCCGCCTAGTGTCAGCATTGAATTATCTTTGCAATGATGTATAACATGACCCTTATTCCCTATTCCAATCATAGAGGGGATGCTCTGGGGAGTAGAGGGTTGAAGTATGTATATAATCTTCTTTGCGTCAAACGGTGCCCCCTCTGAATAGTCTGAATAGAAATCGACGTGTTACGTTGTTTTTTTGAAAAAACATTTTTCTGAGAGTTATCGAGGGTGGATAGTCCTAAGTGGACCACCCCGTATAGATCGCGTTGATGGGAATTGAGAAAATATCACAATTTTTGTAGTAATTGTTAAATATGAGAATAATTTTTCCAGTTTTCATGAAATAGCTTAGTCTTAATGTTGTTAATCAATATGTGCACTATCTGCAAATGGGATTCGCTTAAAAAATAATATAAGGAAAATTCAACACACCTTTGGCAAGCAGCAAAACTAATCTATCTCTATGTTTTCTCATCAGAATTGTTGATACCTAAAACAATGCAAATAAAAGGTGCGTCAAAAACATGCTAAAAAAAAACAAAACAAGCATAATAAGAATGAAATAATTATTACCTGCAACAATTTTACTCATTTCCATAACTTGCTTAGCCAATATTTGATTGAGCTGGAGAAGATGCTCCCTCTGCCTTTTTTCTTCGATCATTTTGCTTGTCGCCTTATTGGTTATGCTACTTGGTGATTTTTCAGTTTCTTTGTCATCTATGAAAGGTAATAAATTTGAAATTAGTTTGTTTTTGATTTGTTTTCTTTCCTATTATTTTTCAAACAATATTTTGATTCTTTACATATCTATTATAAAATGGCTGGTCAAGTCTATTAAGTTCATATGTTCCGCAGTTTTCTTTTGTGCTCATAAAGAGGAAATTATATACCTATTGCTGCACCAGCATGTATAACCCACGACCAAAAAAACATTATGGGAATTTTAACACATTGATTACAATGAGAAATTCACTGGTTCTCACAAGTTTTCCTCGTCTGTTTTACTTTTAGTCCGCTTACATCTCGCCGACGCTCGCTACATTATTTTAGATACAAAGATGAATATAACTAATGAGGACGCGAATCTTGGACCAGGTCACCACAATGGATATTTGCTGATGTTTTCATCACAGGTTCATGGTGTATTGTGTGTGTGATACTGTATATATACCTGAGAATTTTTTTATTTCATCCTCGATTAGGTCATTCTGACGTATAAATATGACATCTTGTGACTGTGACATTTTGAAGTCGTTTTAGGTTCTCTCAGACTTGATTTCGAACGTTCGCCACGTCATTTTGTGACCAAAAGATGACGTCAATCTGACGACACCCTGCTACCTATATGAAATCATTATATTGTGAAAAATCAAAGAAGAACTGGCCTATCCTAATTTTGATGACCCTGTATGAGTAAAAACTTCCATTGACATTTCAGAGGAATATGCAATACTAACAAGTTCAGATATAAAAGAAGCTCCGATGATGTTGATGGAAAAATGTTTATTTTTTGATTTATGTTTTTCAATGATGACATGCAAAAAAAACGGTAGGTACTAGAATTTTTTAGTCATGAATTGATTAAATATTTCAGAAAAATAAGAAAATCAATGTATGGATTGTGGTACCCTTTTTTCATTGAAAAGACGGTAATAGTATCCCCCAGTTACGCTTCTACAGTGTGACCCTCTCCTTAAGACTGAAGCAATTTGAAAATCTACTTTTTCCAAACAAAATCTTTTTTTTTGTTGAAAGAGCTTCACATATAGTTGCAAGGAGTTGTTTCAATTTCTAGGGCGAAATTCCATCCATTGAAAAAAGGTATTGAAACATTATTTTAGAATATTTTTCATTTTGAAGATTTCATGGTCAGATATTTTCTTTTCATTTCCAGTTTAGCCCACTATGGTGTACGAATAACATCGTGTGTACCTAGGGAGGATAAAACCTGTTCAAAACTTATAGAATGGTACTTATTAACTCATTGGTTAGCTAAGAGTATAACTCAAGAATACAGATTTTTGCCAGAAACGATCTTTCAGTTTTGTGTTGATGGATGATGATTCTATCAAATATCTTGCAAATCTAAAAAAATATCACAAGCATTCAAGATATCCAAAATACAGGTACCAGTGGCGCACAGAAAAAAATATTAATTGATTCCGATAACAACAGTACTCAGAATATGTTCTACCCTGTATGTCCACCGAAATGTTAGGACATACTAATCATCGCCCTTTATCTCAATGAAGAACAATTTCGGAGCATATGTACAAAGGAAGAGAAACACATTATTATCGAATCCTATAGTATTAGTAATCGAAAACTGATCACCCTGCATCTCCTTTCTATTTAGAATATTGAGCCCAGATAAGAAAACAAAAATATGCAAAGTATGCATATGGAATTATAAATTAGTATTACATTGTTTACTATGATCAATCAATCAATCACGAACAATGCTTGAAACACTCACCCCCATTCAAGTTGGTGGAGCTGGTGCCAAGGATAGCACTGTCAGAGAGCATTTTCTTAATTGACTCGACTTTCCTCAGTCGATATTCTTGCTCCTCCGCCGAAAGTTGAGGCAACTGCTCAGGAATATACCTCTCGGGGATATTAATCTTATTGGGGGTGCCCAGAAGGCTATCAATGGTGTTTTCGTTATACTTCAGTTCTTTGTTGCTTAAAGTCGATCTAACTACATCAGGCGCATCGATCCTCTGCCGCAGGGCTCGTTCCATGTCCATATCATCCCTAGCCCTACGAGTATTCAGGACCATCTTATTGAAAGCATCATTGTCCGTGGGTAAGTGGTGCAAGCTTTTCATAATCATGTGATTGTGGGGTGCGGTGTAATGTCTGCGTTTCTCCTTAGGTACAGCTCTGCGATTGTTCTGTTTAGGGGTATCGTGAATTGACATTTCGGTTATAATTTGACGTGCTGCTTCGCTCTTGAACACAGGAGATAGCTCAGGGGATTTATCGGTGCTGACATCTGTACTTGAAGCCCCTTCGCGTTCAACGAATTGGGGTAAATTAGGACTCGACACAGCATGTGGGTTAGCAGCAAGTATATTCTGCTCTTCCTCGAAAGTAGGGGATACTAGCGAAGTAGCGCTTTGAACTTTCTGAACAGGTGTAGGCCTGAATAGTACGCTCGAACTTTGCGACGAATCATCTTCTTCTTGAAGCGCATCCCATTTTCCTGGTGTCATTTTCTCTCTGTCTCGCTGTCTCCTCTCAGATTCTCGTTTGACGATCCTCACTGTTTTTATTTCTTGTTTTTCTTGGGGTATATTTGAACTGACTGATGTGTTGTCACTTGTCGAGTCTGTAGATCTGACACTACGGTTGTAAAAGTCTGAATCGCCCAGTTTCATTTCTGTGTTTATGTACAAAGGACTAGTAGACGAATTTACAGCGACAGAGCTTTCCCACGTTTCTCCATGATCGATGATGCTCATTGTATCCAAATCGGTTTCTCTCCATAGTGACGGTATTTTCTTTTTGTTACCTAGAAATTCATATGAATGAATTACAAATGATAGTCTGGAATCAATACTCAGTGGGTAATTCACCTAGGTGATAATAGACGATAGTGAAATGAGACACAGAAGAGCATCGTTGAAAAGTAAATAAAGAAAATGTCGATGAACTTTCATCTCAGTATGACATTGATTTAATCAACGAGATGAATTTTCACTTTTATTATGTCTACTGGCTACGAGGCGAGTCATAATCTCAGTACATACTTATAATAGCATAATGAACAATTAGCTAGAGAAGGAAAGGGAGGTGGTATAACATGAAAAATTCGAGACCTAAAGTTACCTTGTCTGTGTGAAAAACCGTACGTCATTTCATTATGGTGTGCAGTCTTTCAATATAGAAACTGTTTCAAAAGTGTTACCATATCTTTAGTTTTAGGAGTAGGGAAGGCGATTTAGAATTATTTTCAGGATATAATACTGAAAGAGACCGATCTATGTTGAAAAATCTGAATATATTTTGCCCACTCTGAGCGAGAATGCCCACAATCGATGCAATATACGTGAGTTATGATTACCCTCGTTCTTCACGCTACGCATATTTGCAAATTTATACACATCATTCATCATAAAGCAACATCGAACGACCGAAATCGCCTCGATCACAAACAAATCGGGCAGCTTTTTGTATTATTGCTTCTTGAGATCACTGAGCCACTGTTCCAGTATACAATGATCGCGGTGGGGACGTTTGACCGATTTTAATATCTTGCTAGTGCATCCAAAATTTTCTGAAGCATAACAGTCGTATCGATATGCGAGCTTTTCTTCCACAGAAATATTGTGATGATTATGACAAATATGATTTTGAAAGCTTAACTGACATCAGTTCCAAACGAGGTTCCGCGTGTGACAAAAGGGGAAGAGATGTGATGTTATCGTAAGATAGAAGGTTGTCGTGGGTGGAAGATTGTTACAAAAAGTGGAAGGTATTTCATTTTTATAAATTTTTTCCACAATTCATGATTATTTAAACTTCATTCGGCGGGGATATCAACTAAATATTTCTTCGCATTCTTATGTAGATCACCCTGTGTATGGTCACTATTATTGGAAACAAAACCCCAAAATGAAGAAACCACATTGGGAATTTTTCAACATAAAAAAGGAAGCAAACATATTTTATTTGGGTAAGTATATGTATATCCCAAGTACCCGAGTACCCAATTTTTCCAAGATCTTATATGTAGGTAGGTGCAGAGTGTTTGTTTAGAATTATGTTCGGATGAGTTGGAGGTTGAATCCGAATTGAAAATATTCACAATGAAAAATTGAGAGTAAATAATTGACAGGTTTCAAGGAAGACATACAGTGCAATCACCACACTACTGTGTAGTGTATAGTGAATTGTTAATGAAGAAAAATGAAGGCAATAATTTGGTTAATTACTCACATTGACTATTTTGTATTGTACTGGATGGAGGAGACTTATGCTGAGGTACATTGCTAGAACGATCAGTCAGCTGCCTAACCTGTATACTCAGTTCTTGACGCTGCTTTTGAAGATCACCTATTTTCTTCTGGACTCTCTGTAAGTCTGATTCCAGCATGGCACTGTTCCCCATTGTGCATGTTAGGCTGTCTCCTATAAACCATTTTATCATATTGAGCAACTGACCAGAAAAATCAGAAAAAGGGGCATTAATTATGCTAGGGGTCCATGTTAAACAGTAAACACGTTCACTTGCTGAGGATATATAGAAGCAGACACTACTCATCAATAATTGAAGTTACATTATAAAAAAAAGGATTGTCATCTATCCTCACTGAAATGCTCTGTTTTTGATTCTCATTTGCTCTTGCGACTTCCACAATGACACACACAATCAACTATTCACAAAGAAGATTTTTGGAAGGACAAAACTTTATTATAATCAAACTAACATCCTACCCATTTCTAAAATATTACAAATTGAACAAAGTAACTTTATATACAATATCATGGACAAAATCTTAAATGCAATACACCTCTCAATTTTGTAAATCAGCAACTATAATACACGCACACAATCAAATATCTTCTTAGAGCCAGTGAGAACAAACATGGGCCTCGAAAACCCCATAATTCAGAGCATAAAAGCTACTTTTCCGAGGGCAACACGTTTGCTGCTTTGGATAATTCAATTTTCATTGTGATACAGACATTATATTTGAATGAAATACTGAAAAAAATAATATTAGGAAAATATGTGATATAGTGAAACAAATTATATATAAACCTGTACATTTTTCCATTTTTGGATTTGGAGAATCGTTGCTTTTCCGTACCAAAATGCCAAGATAGCAATTTTGTTAGTTATTATCTTTCAACAGTCACCATGAATATTTGTTGATGGTAGGTTTTTATGCAAGATATAGATAGCCTATGAATGGCACTATCAATATTATACGTCACTTTTGTGGTATTTCAACTGCTTCTTGTGTAAAACAAAAATAACAAAAAACCCTATACGCCAATCTTTATTATTTTCAGTAGTTCATTGCTACTGTACACTGGTCGAACAAAAAAATAATTACAATAAATAAAGAGAAATTAGTATTTGTGTGAATCAATCCCATGATTCCAAAAATCGAAAAAATACTTACTGGTTGTTTCATTTTGAAATCAAAAGATGTTTATTCCGGTTGACCGGAGGTATTATAATTTTGAAATCAGACCTCGAATAATTAGAAGTTACATCACTAGCCGTTTTCTGTGCAGTTCCCTGAATGCCCCCCCCCTTATAAAATGAATATATTGGCAGTTGGAGTTGAGTCAATAAAATCGGACACTCGCCATAGCTTGAGGCGTAAGTCAGGAGAGGTTTTCAGAATTCTGAGAATAAAACAAGGAAAAAAGTCACTGTAGAAGTCGATCGATGGCAATAACAGATTCGCGGTTATTTTTGGTGCAACAGAGTGGAACTATTTGCTTTGTGATACTCAAAAGTGGTGAAAACAGAACTTCTGCCCAATCGTAAAAAATATATGAACTTGGGACGTGTCTTTTGGAAATAGGTCAACGGGTAAAAAATTACAAAAATGAATATTCACACCACTCTAGAGCATTGTCATGCTTCATATATGCGAATTGAATACTATACCTTCTCAAAAATAAAAACCTTTAGCGGGATTAAAAAGTGCTCAAAATGGATTTCAAACCACCTATATGAGGGTGTTTTCTTACCAGCATTGGAATATTGTTGAGAACTCCTCTGTTGTCTGGAACCTTGCAATTTCTGTTTGAGAACCAACAATTCTTGTTCCAACCTAGCGTTTCCAGCCACGGTTTCTTCCAGTTTTTTCGAATTCTGAGCCAGCATTATATGCACCCTACTCAGTTCATTTTCCAGCATGATCTGCTGTTTTCTAGCATGTTCCACTTCTGCAGGACTCTTGAAGCCTTTGCTCAAGCGATGCCTTAGGCCTCCCAAAGCCCGTTCAATATCTTCCTTGTCTTGCTGGAGGTTTTGCAGGGTACCTGATTCTTCGTGGATCAACCTATCTAGTTGATAAAGTTGTTGGACTTTCTCTTGCAAATGGAAGTGGTTGGGCTTCAGTCTATTCCAGTCTCTTTTTTCTTCAGCTAGCATTCTTCGTTCTTGGATTTGTTGGTTAAATTCTAGCCTGTCTCGTATGCCAGGAGAAGGGTTAGCTCTGTCATTTGGTACTCTGTATAGAGAGCCCAACTTCACCATGTTGTCTACTAGATTCACTAGTGGTTTCCCTTTCTCATACTACAAAAATTTACTGAGTCAGTTTATATATGTACCTACTTACCTAGTGTGCATTACTGACCTGTTTTTCTAAATCCAACAGGTGTTGCTTTATCTGATCCAGTTTTTGTAAATTTTCCATTCTTCTAGCTTGATCCATCATCATATTTAATTGAGCCTGAAGGATTCGGTTATTTTTGAATATAACAAATTGTATCAGGAGTCAGTAGTTCGAATTTCTTCAGATCCCAGAGAATAATAACACATGCATGAGTATTGGATATTTGTTATTGAATAGTGAACCGAACGCCGTTTCAATTAATCTCAGTAGGGTGGTTTCTTAGATATACATTCATTTCTCATCAGAATCAAAATACAATTATTGTTCGTTATGTCACATAATTAAACATTTTTTTTAGATTCTATATCATAAAGCGTCGAGAAAGTAGTGGGCGGTGCGAAATTTCAAGTTATTGGTAATGATTCTAAGTTGTGGGAAAAGTATTCATTTAAATTATAGTAAATATGATCATGCAATATTTTTTCAACTTTGTTTTGAATCGCGTATTGTTCAAATATTCCATACTGGGAGGTAAGTGGTTGTAAACCTTAATTCCTGAATATAACGGGCCATTTCTTGATCTGTTGTAATTATAATTTGAAAGAATGAATACTTGATTTCTTGTTGGATATGTGTGTTTGTCCGAAGGCCTAGTCAATGTTGCTCGCTTTTTGTGTATCAGCATATTTATCTTAAATGTATAGGTATTCGTCAAGGTGAATATTTTGTGGTCCCTGAATCGTGTTCTGCAAGAGTCTCTGTAGCTTGAGCCAAATAATACGCGGATTGCTTTTTCTGGATTCCAAATACCTCTGACGCATAAATAGATGTGCCCCAAAATTCTATACCATATTGCATGATACTATGAAACTGTGCAAAATATACTAATTTCTCTGTCGCCAAATTAGTATTTCTTTTTATAATACGTAGGGCAAAAAATTGATCTACTCAGTTTAGACTGAAGTGCAGATGTATGATCCAGCCAGTTGAGCTTGTTGTCTATGTTTATTCCCAAAAATACAGTACAGCTTACGGAAACAATCAAGTGCTGATCGAGGTGTAAGAAATAGTTCGTTAGCTAGGAACCAGTCTGATACTCCTTCCATTATTTCTTCTGACAGCAGAGTGAGTTGGTCAGTATTTTTATCAGTAACTATAGTATGCTTGTATCATCAGCAAAGAGTGTGAAACTAACTACTACTACTACTACTAAACTAACCATAGGAAAGTTGCACACAATGCCATTCCCATATAGATCAAAAATAATATTGCTCCTAACACTGATCCCCGTGGAACACAGTTTGCAAAGAAGCAAATTTTGAGTCGTGATATGACTGATTACCTGACATATCATATTTTATTCTGACACACATCATTCGTTATGATAGGTATGATTTGAACCAGTCGTTTGACAAACCTCTAATTCCACAGTAGTCTAATTTATACAGAATTATATCATGGTTTACGCAGTGAAATGCCTTGGAGAGGTCGAAAAATATTGTAGATGTTGTTTCAATTCTAGACTTTCGTATATTTTTTCATCATTTGAAAAGTAGCATCGATCGTAATCAAGTTTTTTTTCTGAATTGTGATTCTGTAAGAATTTGCTGTGTGCTCAGATAAGCTAATATTCGTTTGTTAACAATCCACTCCAGTGATTTTGAGAAACTTTGTTCATGTTAATTTTTAAAAGCACTACTGATTGTTTATGTTCAGTCTAAAGTCTACGTACCAATATCTTGTTTGCACTCCTATTTTTTTCTCGTCGAATTTATTGATTTTCATAGCAAAAAATAATCCTCTATATCTGACACTGTGTGCTAAAATTTTTTCACTTCAAATAGATTTGGATGAAATTCTTTCAGAATAACAAGAGAACAAGCCAAAAATATCTTCACACAGTAACGATTGTTCCGAATAATGCATAATTGAATAACATTTGATATAGTTTTACATATATCGCGCCATGTGGTGGTGGACGGAGTATTCCGGTGTTCCACAAGGATCAATTTTGACACCAATATTGTTCCTACTTCATATCAATGATCTGTTGGGAGTAACCACTTGCCCTATCCACAGCTTTGCAGATGATAGTAATTTTCATACTGCCATTTCTTCCCAGGAAACTAAGAACTCACGGAGAAGGCATCAGGTTCAATGCTGTCAATGAAGATCTTGCTAAAATCACAGCCTGGGGAACCAACAACCTAGTTGAATTCAACGCCACCAAAACGCAAGCCTGTATTTTCTCTAGAAAGCGGAACTCAGTATGCCTGAGAAGAGCCATTCGGCTGGTGGCTGATTCCACACTAAGTAACTCTTTGACATCATTGGAACACCGTGAATAAGTCGGCGACCTTTCACTTTTCTATAGATACTTCTACGGGAAATGTTCTTCAGAAATCTCTGCTATCATTCCATCACTAGCAATACCAGTCGGACGAACTCGACAAGCCCAGCCAGTACATATTTCCGTTGTCGAACAGAGCTCTTTATCAAAACTCGTTTGTCTATAGAACGGCAAATGCTCAGGAATCCACTGCCTAAGGAAGTATTCATAAGAACTTATAATCCCCATCAGAAGTAAGAAAAAAATCAATACCTTCTCCTCTTCTTATCCTCCCTAGGAACGCACGATGTTCTTCGAACATTATAGGGATTCCCTTTTGTGCGCTCCAAGCGATAAAAAATACATGTATAGGAATAATGAAGACAGCATTATGAAATTGCCTCAATTTTCACATATATTGGATAGAAAAATACACAGGTTCTAAAATGATACAGTGTGTTTCTAAAACCTACCGAAATCTCTCGTGAGCTGATTCCTCGGACAAAAAGAAGAACAAATACTCGACTTGTACAAAATGGTGAATAAGTTGCAGAGAATCCGTGTCAATTCTGGTACACACTTTTTGAGAACAATGGGTAGAATTCCATCAGGACCGATAACCTTATTATTTGTTTTGAGACCAAATAGAATGTGTCAATGCGTCTGATAGTGCGTTGACGAAAGACGATTTCGGGCATTCGACTTTCAACGGGTGGAATGTCTGGCCGTATTCTTCTCGGGAATTTAAGTTTGCTGCGAAGATATCTGCAAAATTGTTTGCTTTCTCTTTCGATGTTGTTGCAAATGTGCCGTCGGCTTCGAAGAGTGGTGGGAATGAACTATTAGTGAAATTCCTTCAGACTGCTTTAGCGAGGGACCAAAACGACCAGGAGCCATTGGGACAATCTATGACTTTTTTTGGGCATTGTACGATTTTTTTGATGCATCTATTGTTAAGCTGCAGTTATTCCTGGCTTCAACATATTCTGCTATAGTCACGTGGTTAAGGTTTTTGCGCCATGGAAGGTAGGATGTTTGTGACAAGGCAACAGCTCAAGAACAGTTCTTGTTGAACCAGGGTTTCGAAGGTGATGCTCTTTCCGAACAATGAGAGGTATGTATGTGTATATTATAAAATGCGATTTTAATGAGTTGGATTCTGAATTTGAACGAAATATCATATGTTGGTAGAAGTCCATTGTAGCTTTGGAATTCTTTGCCAACACCTTAGACTGAAGATGGACATTACATATGTCCGAATCATATTCCTGATCTGATGTTTTCAAATCAAAAGTCGTGGAGATCACTTAATGTTTTTTTCATTGAATATGAAATATCATATATGTTTTTCAATTCAGTTCACAAAGAATCATCCACATTATTGCATATTTGATATTCAATTGGCTGTTTTACGTTTTCAATCCCTATGAAGGTACTCATGAAATAATACCATAAATATGTTTCGCGACTATATTATATCTAGAGACCTTACGAGATACCTACACAACACCATTGTATAGAAATTGTGAAATGTAATATCGAGCTGATAGTTCAGTCATTGGGGATCCAAAATAAGGCTTACCTGGAAAAAAGTACGGAAGTTTTGAAACTTCGTAGTATTATAGTTTTGGGTGTCCAGAACTAAAATTCACAAAATGCACATTCCGGGACATGCCGCTGGCGCCGCCATCTTGCCAAGATCTAAGTCTAGAATTGAAACAACATCTACAATATTTTGCGACCTCTCCAAGGCATTTCACTGCGTAAACCATGATATACTTCTGGATAGATTAGACTACTGTGGAATTAGAGGTTTGTCAAACGACTGGTTCAAATCATACCTATCATAACGAATGATGTGTGTCAGAATAAAATATGATATGTCAGGTAATCAGTCATATCACGACTCAAAATTTGCTTCTTTGCAAACTGTGTTCCACGGGGATCAGTGTTAGGAGCAATATTATTTTTGATCTATATGGGAATGGCATTGTGTGCAACTTTCCTATGGTTAGTTTAGTAGTAGTAGTAGTAGTTAGTTTCACACTCTTTGCTGATAATACAAGCATCTAGAGACCTAACGAGATACCTACACAACACCATTGTATAGAAATTGTGAAATGTAATATCGAGCTGATAGTTCAGTCATTGGGGATCCAAAATAAGGCTTACCTGGAAAAAAGTACGGAAGTTTTGAAACTTCGTAGTATTATAGTTTTGGGTGTCCAGAACTAAAATTCACAAAATGCACATTCCGGGACATGCCGCTGGCGCCGCCATCTTGCCAAGATGGCGCTCAAAAACGGTTTTTTGAAAATATCTCCAAAACGGTGCGTTTTTAGAAAAAATATGAGGACATAAAAATTTAAGATGAAGAAATTTTCTACAAAAAATGTTCCGAGCACATTTCTGCTAAAGAGAGCCGTTTAGGCTCAAGAGCTGATTGAACAACAACATAATATACTGTTAATTTCTATGAACTGCCCCTAACTATCTCCATATATGCGTATAAATTCATATTTCATGATAAAACGGGCTATTCAATTTGTTCCTCGTTATATTGGACGATTTTTAGATCAATTATGCGACAAAAATTTTGCATTTGTGACTTGCGGTTATTTGGGCGATATAAAAATTGCATTATCGACGAATCTAGCGACTTTGCTCCAGAAGTATGTGGGTACAGGATGGTTATGAGTAAATTTCATACCTATACTACGTATCCGTAGATATAGGTACCTTCTCGTACTGTAAAACCGCCCATAAATTCATAGAAATTTGAAATTTTGCTTTCTTGTCTTTACCACTCCATCCCAATATGAGTAAATACACAAAATATATATTTCAGATGAGATATTTTTATAAACGGTAAAAACACAAGAACTTTTTCATCAACTAAATTACCTTTCCTAACGAACACAATTTGCCAATCAGTAATTTTACGAGAAAAACGGACATGAAAAAATTGCGAGACCGTATTTAACCAAGGAAAAATGAAGTTTCTAACAACATTAGAAAAACATAAAGAGTTACAAGATCATATCAAAGTTTTTAAAAATGAACATGCCACCCCTGATCAAGTTGCCTTTGCCGGTGAGAAATGTTTCCTTGCACTCTATGGATTCAAAGACACAAATTACACCAATCTTGATAAATATCGATACCAGTGTTTCGTGAAGTCGGTAACAAACAAAAGTAAATTCAATTTGGCATCTTTACCACCGACAAGCGCAGCTGCACGACAGCATTCGTTGAGAACGTACTATCAGGTTCAACTATGGCGTGGTTGTCCGAAAGTAGTTGAAGAATGGGGTTGGAAGAAAACACAAACTGGCCTCACTCCAATAACTACTTTGAAAGATCGTGCTTCCAAAGTACTACTTGCTTTTTTATCTTGTAAGTGCAAGGCGGCTTGTGGTAGAGCCTGCGGATGCAGGAAAGCAGGATTGCGATGTTCGATGATTTGCGGTGTCTGCAACGGGAAAACTTGTGAAAATATCAACCAAGTGACACTGGACGAATCCGATGAAGAAGACCTCCATTCGCTGCATGATGATTCTTTATCGACTGCAGAAGAAGAATCCGACGAGTTGAAGGAAATTAACATCGATTCTGGAGCTGAGGTAACCAGTTTACCCGTTGAATTAACATGGATTAATTGATGAATTCATCGATTAATTGAATAATGGATATCCACCGTTTCGTGATAAATATTTTTAAAGTCGTTAAATATCAGATTTGGGGACCCCTAATACACATATTATTTCCGAAACCCGCCACTACAGAAAACTTACGCAACATTTGTAGTTTGGTAAGGGCACTATTGTGCCTTAACGAGGGTACTTTAGCGAGAATATTCTAGGAACATATTTTATAGGAAATATCTTCTGTCAGCAACCTATAAATATAACGAGAAACCAATTAGATAGCCCGTTTCATTATGAAATAATAAATTTATACGCATATTTTGGAGATAGTTAGGGGCAGTTTATTGAAATTAACAGAATATGATGTCATTCAATCAGCTCTTGGGCCTAAACAGCTCACTTCAGCAAAAATATACTAGGAACATTTCTTGTAGAAAATTTCTTCATCTTAAATTTTTATGTCTTTATATTTTTTCTAAAAACGCACCGTTTTGGAGATATTTTCAAAAAAACGTTTTTGAGCGCCATCTTGGCAAGATGGCGGCGCCGGCGGCATGTCCCGGAATGTGCATTTTGTGAATTTTAGTTCTGGACACCCAAAACTATAATCCTACAAAGTTTCAAAACTTCCGGACTTTTTTCCAGGTAAAAATCCCCAATGACTGGCCTATGACGACAATACTGAAAAGAGAGTCGAGATGTGTTGAAACATCATGACAAAATGACGATATTCAGTTGAAGCGCCCCAATTAAGACAGGTTTGGGTTTATTATAAAATGAGAAAACAAATTCAATTTCAATTTCAATGAGTTGAATTCTGAATTTAAACGAAATATAATTTTTTTTCCAATGCAGTTCACGAAAAAATCATCGACATTATTGCATAGTCGATAATCAATTGGCTGTTTTACGTTTCCAAGAACTCCACATTGTGTCGTTGATTGATGAACAGCTACTTTGTTAAAAGAACATTGTAATATTATAAAATGCTTTTGTTCTCATACAATGATACAGTTGAATAATGTTGTTTATATCTGCATTATTGTGAAATTAATGTAAGTAAATGTTTTTTTACCACAGAGCTTGTGCGTGATATGAACGGATTCAGTAATTTTTAGAGAGTATTGAACTATGCCTACAAGAAAAATTATTGAAAATAAATATAAATGTAGAGCTGATCCAATTATGTGTAAAGGGTTTGATATAATTTGCTGCAGATAAACTAATGGACCTAAGAAAATGTATTTGTGAAATCTAAACTCCTTTCGGTGAGATGTAACCATTATTGAACTTGTAGGATCTGTTTTGATTTATTGATTTTATATTATCTGATCGAGTATTATTTTGGTTCTAAAATACTCCGTTGCCTTATATTCTTTTCGCACTTCGGTAAGATACCTATATTTTGTAATTTTTCTTCTGATGCTTATAGAATAGTTTAATCCATAGATGAAAACCCACAGTCATCTCCACAACTTTTATCAAAATGATCAGAGATCAATCGTAACGGAATATGTTTCGAGCTTACATAAGCCCATCATAAGCCGATAAAAAGTATCATAGCTCTAGAAAAATCGGTATTAGGATATTGATGCAACAATTACTTAGCAAAAAGTTTTAAAAAGAATTTATATCATTTTACAGATACAGTTGTTTCTTATTATTTAAAAAAACGATTGTTTTTCAGATCTTGAAGCATATTTCCCTGTTTGCCCTGTTAGTAACTATAATATTTGTATGTTGCTGCTGCTGTTTTCATCCCCTCATTAACTTCAACCCTATAGGAATTGATAGTACCCGCCGAGATCTTCAAAATGTGCTGTCGCAACACTCCTCACCCCTATTCAAAATCAGGAAATTGTGCTTTCCTTTGGTGAAGGGTTGAAGTTACGAAGATGATGAAAGTAAATAGGTGATTCACCCTCAATAAAGCGACTGGTCCGAGCGTTTTTTCACATTTTCTTTTCAGAGCAGTAGAAACTAAGTGTAAAGTTTTCGTTGGCTCATCCTGTATAATGACCCATGGTGTTATTTTCCGAGATCGAAGAAATTCTATAATTGTTTACTGACTCAATCTGCATGGTAAGAGATTAGTATAAACCACTAAAACGAGTTACATTTCAGAATGATACTATAGTAACCCAACATTAAAAAGTGCTGCCCTATAAATTTATTTTTTCAGTGACAATAAGATAATGATGAATTGTTTCGACAGTATGTGTTAATTATTGACACATTTCACGGACAAATTTAAACGTTTACTGAAGATACAGTTCTGGTTTTATTTCAAGGTAGCACTTTCAATCATTTTGTGAAAAAATAGAGAGGTACGTAACCATCACCCATTAAAAAGTTAGTAAGCTTCGCAAATTGCTTATAAATCAAATAAATACCTGGTAAAATCATTCTCATTGAAACTACCCTAACAAGTTCATTTTTTTTTTTACCAAACCACTCATTCGTACAGGGTGTTTATTCACCAAAGATATATAAAAAGATATATAGGTACAGATTTCAAAATGAATGTTAATAAACAGTGGCATCACTGAAGAAATAATTACGAGTAATTATGACTTGTGCGTGATATAGCCAATCATAGGTATATGAAATTTATCAAATATGAATATTGAGATTCTCCATAACATCTAAGAGTATCTAAAATATCTAAAAATATCTAGAATTATCTGAAAATATCTAAAAATATCTAAAAATCTAAAAATCTTTGAATAGGTACATAAAAAATGTCCATCAGTACCTACTGGCCGACACTGAATTATGAAGTACACATGAATATAATATTGAAAGTTCAAAATAATTAACAAAGTTGGTCCTTTTCGGATATATTCGCCCTTGAAGGTGAACTGCAGATGAACATATTGCTGGAATAACATATAGTCCACATTCCTATAAGGAATATTCTTGCATGATACTTTGGGCTGATTGGGTCCAGTTTCCGTGCGACCAAAATATCATGCAAATCGGAATGACTGAAGAAGTTTTTAACTAAAGCCCACATTCCAATATTCACCATCATATATGTCCGAAAGAAACCGACTCATGATTGATATGTATATTATCTTCTCCAGTACTACTCAATTCAATATGTCTTCATTCAGTTTTCACTCATGTACGAAAATTCCAAAATTGTCACCTGCAATTTTGCGTATATTGAATATGTTGCAAGAGATGCTACAAGACAGATGCTACAAGAAACCCACTATAAGAATATCCATGAAACTTGATAAACGACCAAAGAAATTTCTCAAACTATATTAGAAGCAGAAGAGCATATAAATATGTACAAATGATTTATCATCGCCAATAAAAGTTTTTGATGTTAATGATGAAAAAGTTAGGAAGCTGACGAATTGTTCCAAACCTGTATTGAATCAATTTCATTGTAACAATTTTCGATAGCTTGCAGAGTTTGAGAACTCTGTCTGCGCAACTGGATTAACAACAAGACCAACTCCTCGTGAGTTCTACCAAGTAACTCGCCAGCTGAAACGCTCATTTTATCATTTGTGGGCCAATTATCCTAACAATGAAAAAGAAAATAAAAAACTGAATATACACTAGGTGACCATGAGATTACTTATAGCCAGCCTGCCATTTTTCCAGGAAGTTGTTCGAATATTTGAGAGGCAGATTTAATGCAACCAAACACCGGTTTATCCGGAAACACAATTCATATACTCATTTCAAATGGAATACCTCGGATATCTTCAGACAATTGTATTTCCCAAGAAATTCATTTTAATATACAAGGAATGAATGAAGAGAAAATTCGTTATGTAATTTTTGATGGCTCTACATTATGATTCTTTTGAGAATTTGAAGAAGAATTAAAAAAGTGTAAGTTTAAGTAAGCAACCTGTATGAACAATAATATTATAAACAATTCAATGACATATTAGAGTTCCAGAGGAGTTGAAGAACGATTTCGGGAAAAAATCGAATCAATCTCAACGAAAATCTGTAAAATGATGTTAAAATAAGAAGAGAGGTTTTTAATACCACTCATAATCATATTTCTTACCAGATCGAGATCAGAACCTTTCACTGATATTTCATTTCATGATGATAGTTTTCAATTATTCTTATACATAACTTATCAATGAAAAAAAATCCTGTGATTCAAATCATTCAAATCGATTGATTTAAATCCTGTCAACCCTGACAAAATCTTCATTTGAAGCAACTGTACAACGCAATCAAATCAGAAATCGATAAAGGCATCACAGTTTTCAAATGATCGGCTGGCTAGTAATGTCGAGGTCATATACATATAGGTACCATCATTCAAGATTTTTGCAAAATGATACATGATACTATATTATCCATTCGTAACTCTCTCGTTGACAATGGAAGGATATGAAAGTTTACGACTTACCTTTCTTGAATCTGGATTTGGATCTCCATGACTAGAATTCTTATTTGTATAATGAACTTGAGGATTCGATAACCTGAAAAAAAAGTGTATTTTGACAATCCTTATTGAAATGAATCATAGGTGAGTTAAGTCACGATATTTGGTGGACATTCATGTTCCAATAGCCTATATTCGAATGAGGCATAGTCATTCAATGGAGGAACACATCGAATACTCAGATACGAAGTTTCATCGCTGTAACTTCTACATGTAGATATTTCTAGGTCAACGAGAAATCAATGAAACTAAAGAAAATCAAAAACTGCAAGTCGCGGTTGACTAAAAGTAAAGTTGGGGTTCTCAACTGTGAAAACTCAAGAACACCGTTTATCACTCACTACAACAAACAGTTACTTTGAAAACCGTCTCTACTGACTGAAAAAGGTGAAGAACAACTACCGGAAAATTATAGAAAAATAAACATTTCACCAACAATTTCCGATAAGGGAAAAGGCGATCTTCAATACAGTTTAGTATGACGTAATACAAAAACTCAATTTGTTTAATGCTAATCAATTTGGAGTCAAGAAAAGAAAAGTACCATAGTGGCCGTCAACATTCTCGAAGCTTTTGAAAATGAATGTCCATGTTTAACAATATTTACTGACCTGCCGAAGCATTTTGGCTGTGTCAATCATAATGGACTAGAGTGGAGGACACTCCAAACAAACCATCTATTTTGTAAGACAATTATTGTTGTCCCGAGTTCATAATACAATTATCTCAACATTTCTCTGAAAAATTGACTGTTAGTCAGATAATTTGGACACCTCACCAAATCGACATATTTTACAGCTGCGCAGTACATTAGCTAGCTCTATCGAGAATTTCCTCGTCGAACGGAATCTACTCACGAAGATTCAGCCTGTTATCAGTCACTGAAAAAAACAGGCGGTGGATCCTGGACTACAAGTGAATATCTCGGTAACCGTTTGTCAGATTTTGTTTAATTTTTGTACAGGATGATTTCAGACCACGTACATATTTTCTCTTGTGTATTCGGATGGAATAAGCAAAAATACGAATAATATTGTGTTCCAACTTTTTTTTAGTGTCTCGCTTCGTTTTCGAGAAAGATAGCAAAGTTTCGGCAGGTCTCTGCATGGATTCCATAAGGGAAAATACAAATGTTTACAAATCAGAAAAAATCGGGATGTGTTCGTGTATGAAGATTAAAAAGAAATAAAATAAATTATCTCTAAAATGCGTAAAGTACTGGTGGTCAAGATAAAAATTCTCTACAGCTTTATCTCTAGGAGTATTTCCGTAGGTTGAATGGTTATGTCGATATTCGGCCCAAAACAAGAGTAAAACTTAAAATTGAAATTTTTCACGAAAATAAGTGAATCTTTGAGGTACTATATCTCGGAAACTATATTCAACGTACAGAGTTGCAATTGAACCGAAATTGTTGCAAATTCATTTAACTTTAAAACGCATAGTTTACGCAACATCTGGAAAAAGTACAAATATTTTGCCGTTTTCCACTAATTCCGAATCGAGCACAGGTTTTTCGAAGCTGCATACTTGGGTACACACTACCCTAACTGGCCCTAACAACATTTCAAAAATCAGAACTACATTCACGCTCTGCGATTTCAATGTCATATTTGACTGGCGTATGTATTTTTAGTGGATTCAATTGATAAAAATCACGAAACACTAGAAGATTGCGGTTATGTTGTGCAAAAAACAAGCAAAATGCTCACTCTGGGCACGCTCCAGGAAAATCTGGATTAAAAAGGGTCCAGTAGATGTTAATTGTTTAAATAAAACGTGAAAGTTTTCAAGCTATTGATAATAAAATTCAACACACTGTATCTCGGAAACTCTGTAACTCTGAAACATCATATATAGGTATACGTTCATATGAGGAGTTCTCATGGGGGCACTCACAGAATACGCATATATATTCTTTGGCTCTGAAATTTGCTTCATTACTTCGAAACGGCTCATCAGATTTAACTCAAATTTGAACAGTTGGCATAAGTTAATGGGTCAATAAAACCCATATATCAAAATCATGATGAATATAACTCCATGGGCATAAAAGGAGGGGGTTTGGAGATTTGTACTAGCTGCATACACGTAACTGATCAATCAAATGAAGAGAGGTTTGACTATGAAATTTGGAATACATAAATCGTTTACTAGAAATAATATATTCTTGGAAAATTGGATTACTCTCATGGTTTCGACAAAATTTGAATTTCAGTAATTTAGAGAGTACCTAAGTAAAGTTTTGATACGAGTAACAGCTATTTCATAAAATGTTTTCAGAATTATAATGAAGATGATGAAAAGCCCTAATTTCGAGTGACAATGGAAAATGAAAAAACTCCACCGCCCCGTGTGAGAGTCGAACTCACAACCTCTGGGTTACATGCCCAACGCTCTGCCAATTGAGCCAACGGGTCGTCCGTCGATCAATCGGCAGGGAGGTCGAGTTCTCATCACACACCAAGCGGCAGAATCCTTCCAATTCCCGAAGTCACTCGAAATCATGCACTATACGAAGCATCGCTGGCAGGATGGTACTATACAGTCTCCATATTTCCCCGTTCGTCCTCTGGCATTGTCTTTCCTTGTATACAGAAATGCCCGCAAGCAATCTATACATAGGAGTGGGTGATAATTCTTGTCGGTTACTCGACCGAAAAGATACATATACGATGAAGATGATGGAAAGCCCTAATTCGGGAACTGGAAGGATTCTGCCGCTTGGTGTGTGATGGGAACTCGACCTCCCTGCCGATTGAGCGACGGATGACCCGTTGGTTCAATTGGCAGAGCGTTTGGGCATGTAACCCAGAGGTTGTGAGTTCGACTCTAACACGGGGCGGTGGAGTTTTTTCATTTTCCATTGTCACTCGAAATTAGGGCTTTTCATCATCTTCATTATTATATATGTATCTTTTCGGTCGAGTAACCGACAAGAATTATCACCCACTCCTATGTTTTCAGAATTCACCATTTTCACCTATACGATACAAAATACTGAAATGTACTGTTATCAGCTATTTTTTTCGTTATTTTGGTAATATTTTTATGTCAGAGCCGTCTAGCGCCCACACTAAACAACTTTGTACTGAAGTATGTATGCTTCGAGGTTTGCTTGTATAGAATAGTTTAAGTCTGAGAAATATATAATAGGTTTTTGTGAAAACTTTTTAGAAACACCGTAGGTGCAACAAAATAGGACCTATTAGTTTGAAAATGATCTGTCTCGGTTGTGGCCTCGCCAATTCGACTCCTATTGAAAGAATAACACATTATAAATAAACAATGAGATTTGATGGTCCAATATAATGAAATAAAGCACTTTTTGAACCACTCTTTGATAAGGCATAATAAATTTGTGGGCAAACATAATTTCTCTCGTAACGCTTTTCTTTCACATACTTAATGGTCAACAAGAGTATTCTCTAAGTTCTGTCGAAAAAACTATACTTCTTTATATTTCGTTCACAGAAGACATAAAATGGCGGGATATTCAAAATTTAAAAATTGAATACAACAGAAAAAAAAGGATTGAACTAAATATTGCTAGTGCATATACAGAACATGCACTAGCAATTTACAGAAAATTGATTATGATAGCTGGTAGCATTTTTTTCATAAGCAATGAAATATATTGGAAAAATCACTAAACTAAGAGATTATATGTTGAACAATTCAATGCAGAATTCTCTCATGGCAGTTCTTATGAATTCGACAAATTTCCACCGCTAAACACGCACTCACTATGCCATAGTTGTTAATGTGTTAAGAAAGTACCTACCACTCTGCCCTACAGTTTTTCATCATTTTCAGTGAGGAGAAGAATTCAAAATCGCACAAATGAATAACAGTTTTAGGTTTCCCACTTTCAAATGGGTTACTACAATGTAGAACACCATGAACCATAATATCTCATAATGGCCTGTGGTGACATCGTTTCATAAGTGACCCATTTCCAATTGGGTTTATAGAATTCATTACCCGGTATACATACAGTTCATGACCTTTTGGCCTGATTCGGAAAATGACGACAAGAAGTAGAATATTAATAATATAACGTGACAACCCCATTCTGTAAATCATTCAAATATATGCAGTATTATAATATGGAAATTTCATACATTCCTTCACATTCCCAATTTATCATCTCATGGAAACTCACCCATATTGTTCCTTCTCTGGATTCCTACATAAATTCGTCACTGAACGTGACTCCATGTGTGTGCTTGGTGTCCATATCTTCTTCGCAGATATTGCTCTCGGAAAAGTATCTCTGCTGTTCAGCTGAGACATGTCTCTTGTATTTATCGAAATTGAACCAGATGCTACAATGATTTTGAACTACACATCAATACTCAATTATACAAGGTATAACAAACATAGCCATAGTCAAGGAGCAATCTAAATCAGAAAAAAACATCTGACATACAAACACTTGTTTTTAAAATAATTATTCGTTTTGAAAATATATGTCTTAGTTTGTATATGGTTTGTATTAAATTTTGCGGCCACTGATGATGATATGTATTCCAGCATAGACATCCGTGATCTTGACATCTCTCAGAGATCCACTATTGAAATACACTCGCGATTTCACAATATAATGCTAGCGTGATGTATTTACAGTGTACAGGAGATGTCACGATGCGATGTCTACTAAACTGTCCCACATTTGAAGTGAGTCAAGCAAACATTTCTATCATTTTCGAACCGTCATAACTTTGGATTGGATTAACCAATTTTCAATTTCTGTCAAGATTGTGATAGCTCAATTCATTGAGTACAACTTCAGTACTTTTTTGTTATTTCATCTTTCCGACATGATGACCTACAGGGTGATATCTGAATGTGATAAATTTCGAAAAGTTTTGGATCGCCCCGTTTCACAGGGATTTTTTTAAATGGTTTATATTGAGGGCGATAAAATGAAGGATGATGAGTTTCCTCGAAGAGGTTTTGGATTTAAGAGGATTTATACAGGATGTTTTGATATATGGATTTTTTCACAACTCCAATTATTCTACAGAATTTGAGATCGACATTTTTTCAACTCCATTACTGTACAGTGTTTTGTTCATGTTCATAAATAGTTAATGTGGAGATAAATCAAAATACTACGAAAAATGCAGGTAATAATTATTAACACAATATTTTCAATGAAAAAATGATACATAAAATCGACATGGGGCGGTATCATGATTAAACGTCGCTCCACGTTGGTTATTTTCAGATAGAGTATGATGAATGCTCTTCGGTATCAAGACATGTATTGTGTTAGGGAAGTTGTCGTTTCAGTTGTCCAAAACTGTTGGTGAAAATTTCATGCTGTTTGATGATAATGAACTACATCGTGCGAGAATTGTCACTGGAGTTTTAAGACATCATAATATTGCATCCCTTTCCTCCCAATCCTTCCTAGGTACGAACGATGATCTTCCAACATAGAATAGGGATTCTCTTCCGTGCGCTCCAAGATGAAAAACCTCTCCCGACATGAATCCAATAAAATACTTATAGAGAAGGGAAGGTGAAATGATGAATCTTGGACCAATTATAAGATGCGATACTGGAAGAGTGGATAGCTATTCCCCAAGATTTCATCAACGGAGAGCTCTCGTAGCTGCTAGGTGAGGTGCAACAACATATTGAGAATTGACTCAACAATTGAAGTTGTTAGTAGTTAATTGAAGTTGTGTTTGTATAACACTGTGGATTCCTAATGTCCATTAAAAATATTATGTTAATAATTATCTGCATTCTTTGGTAGTATTTTCGATTATTTTTACATTCTTACTCTATGTAGACTGCTAGTAGTCATATCGCAGCAACCCAAAAATGATTTTTTCGTTTTATTTTTGCCAATCTTAGGAAATATGAAGTGTTTTGTTCTTTGGTGTAAGAATTCCACGATTAATAATACTAAAGATGTTTCTTTTCATCGGTGAGTTTGTGAGTAATGAATAATTCATTATTTTAATTGGCTTCCGTCAGTTGAGCAAGTAGGTACCTATTGAAACCAAGTGGAATCAAGCATGTTTTGTATATTCATTCAGCTGTGAAGAATTTGAGCTAAGGCCTGAGGTGCCAAACCTGCTCATCTATTTTAGACAATTTCGGATCAAAAGTTTTTTCATTCAATTATGTTTTTTTTTCGCAATTGCATACCTCGTTGGTCCCAGCACTGGGACCAAACACCCCATAAGTCGAAACTTGTGCGGGGTTAGGTATACATACAATCACAAACATCCATGGCCTAACTAGGATTCGAACCTATGTCTCGGTGGGAGTCCCCATACGAACTCAGCGCCTTCACGCTCTCGACCACCGAGCCGCCTAGAATTCCTATAAGAATAAGATAAATGAATTGAAGCTATCAGGAGACCATTGGACCTTAGCCACTCAGGAAGGATAATTATTATGTTCAGACGATTTTAGGTCAGATAGCTTTCTGATGCTTCCAGGTAAATCCAGGACGTGCGAATTCGCCGTTTTTTGAAATAAAGTTCTCAAATCTGGTTATTTGGAAGCTATGAGACCTGAATACGGCGTATTTCATTCGTTTCTCACTACTTCATGTATGGTTTATCAACCTTCCATAGTAGACCCCTCCCAACCTTTTTCCTTCGATACGCCTATATTCCTCCGATTCATGGGTGTAACATGAAATATCCTAAATGCGCATGAATCAGTTTCACCAGTTCGAAAACCTTTTTCCTTCGATAAGCCTATGTTCCTCGGATTCATGAGTGTAACATGACAGATCCTAAGCGCATGAATCAGTTTCACTAGTTCGATCTCCTTTTGCCTTGTAGAATTGGCGGTCTAGATTAGTGTATAAGTCGGTGGACCAGCCATAGTTTCCAGAGTTCCGAAGGTATAATAATATTTTCAAATTTTGCAGGGGTGTTGGATTCAAGAGTTATAAAATGTTTCTATCTTTCATACTCTCCCATCACTTGAAATGACCCCAACTTTTGATTTCCAAATAGGACAGCATGTATTTAATTCAATAATCATAACGAATTCAACGATACCGAGTTCGATAAGTTTATTTATAACGATCACGGAGATATTTGCGTTCGCAGTTTCCATATGCTCGATGGGTTGTTACGGCACAATATTGATGAAAGCTCATTATCTGTTACACTCATTGAGCATATGGAAATTTCAAACGCGAATATTTTCGTGATAGTTCAAAACAAAATAACCCTCTATATCATACCCAGTATCATTGAATTTTTTATGATAATTCTCAAACACTTATGGAATAAAATACAGGGTCTCCCATTTGAAAATTGAAAGTTGGGGTTGCTTCCAGTCATACCGGAAGTGATGAGAGAGTATGGAAAATTGCAAAATTTACCAATTCTTGTATTCTACACCCATGCCAAATTTGAATCTCATACCTTCGGAACTCTGCTCAAGTAGCACACCAATATTGTGAAAATATTTCAATTACATATTGCCAGAAACACTATTTCATAGCATAGCATGATTTTATTGAATTCAATCGGCATTATAAATACGAAAGTAGCAGGCTATGATCTGAGAAGGAAATTCTTTGACTGGTTGCATGGAACTTGTGATCATAAATGAAAGCCTTACAGCTCAAAGGTATAGTCTATCCAAAGTCATACAGGGCGTGGAAAACATTTTGAATTGAAAAACTCCAATTTGTGATTGTCTGCCACGTGCACGGACAAAGGAACTCCAAAAGATGCGAAACCGCTCTTCTCGAGGTGCTTCAACTGACTTCGGATCGACTATATATATCGATAATTTTAGGACCACATATAATGTAGGGATTTTTGTTGATGCAAAATAATGACAGGCCTCACGTCGCCCGAGTTGTGAGAAATTTTCTGGAGAAAGTGTGTATCGCTACCATGGCATTGCCAGCTCGGAGCCCGGATTTAAATCTCATTGAGAGTAACTGGGTCTTGCTTGGTACAAAATTACAAGAGGAACGTTACTTGACTACTTTGGAAAACGCACGGCAGAGACTGATGATTCAAATTTGGGAAGACCCGGACCAACATGACAGTAGGTCTCTTATTTTGGGTATAAGCCGTCTTTGCCGAGAAGTTTTTCGTGCCCGCGGCGCAAATATTCGCTACTGACCCTTTCGATCAACTTGTGCCTTCACATTTTGTTTCGTTTTTTCGTTATTCAATTTGGATATTGATCTTCCATAAAATCATGTTACGCTATAAAATAGTGTTTTTCGAGTAATAGGAATGATAAAGGAGTGAATCCAAGAAAGGAATTTTGAAAAACGATAAGGCTAAAGCGTGATTTCAATTTTAACTCGATAGTATAACAATTACACTCATATCTATAGGCACCGTTTCACCGCATCACGCCGCATCATGAATTTATCTCCTGTGTCAGATTTTCCCTTCATGATAGTGGCTACCCAAACTCCAAACACCGGGCTCACCTGGTTCACGGATGGGTCTCGTGTTGGGAGCTGGCGTATACGGGCAGAACCAAGACTACGAAGAGTTTCAACACCTTGGAAAATTTGCCACTGTATTCCGGGCTGAGGTTTCGCCATCCTTGCCCCTGCACACAAGAAACCATACGACGCCATATCAGCGGCAAGCGCATCTACATCTGCTCCGACAGTCAGGCCACTCTCAAAGCTCTAAGAGCACCAAGAGTGGTCTCTCGGTTGGTTTTAGCAAACAGAACCTTGCTGAGATAGCAAGGGAAAACCGTATCGAACTACTTTGGGTTCCTGGACATAGTGGGATAGATGGCAAAGAAAGAGCCGATGCCATACCGAGGCAAGGTTCTTCAGCCCGTCCTGCAGGTCCAGAGCCCATCGTGAGCATTTCTCTCTGCACATGACTTCGAAAACTTGAAGAACTTTTAACAGAGAGGTTTAGTCGGGAATGGACTGAATCTAGGGGCATGAGGCAGGCGAAGATTTGCATTGAAAGGCATTCGATACGTCTCACCCAATCCCTCCTGAATATGCGAAGAAGCCAATGCAGAGTTGTCACTGGTTTACTAAATGGACACTGCCGCCTAAACAGACATCTAAATATCCTGGGTATCTCCGATGACCCAACGTGCCCTTCATGTCTCATATGTGAATGTACTGCGCTGATACAGCTCAGATGGCGGAGTTTCTGACACACTACTCTTCCAGTGGAAGAAGCGCCAAACATCCCGGCTACCGACATCCTCGCCTTCGGCAGAGCTGCGGGACTCTTGTGAAGGATGCCACACTAACGGGGCGACACAATGGACCCACACTACCGGTCTAGCTGTCTGGACTTCGACAAGTCCCCCCGACGCCTACTCAATCAATCAATCAATCACCGTGGAATATAATCTTTATATGACGGTTAAATATTTCAATGCCCCCATCAAAATTTCACAACCAAACATTTCCTCCTATGAAGGGGAAGCGAGCCCACTTATCTTCTCATTCCAGTTCCAAAAAATGACACCTAACCTAACCTTCCGTTCGTATTTTCTAGTGAAATAAATATCAGGTACATAATACGCGATCATTCTGGGGACTTCGAACTCCTTCAGTATGGCTATGTCGTTATGTTATTCATTGTATGAGCAGATTGTTTGAAATCTTATGAAAATTCCGAAGAAAAATTTGATTAATAAAATCCACAAAAATTTTCCAATGGATGAAAACTTATCGTTGTTGATTGAAGTTGAAATATATTTACATTATAATACACGAACCAATAAAATGAAATAAAATAAATGAAACTTATACCTGTTTCTTGTGTGTCGTTTATATCGGTCGAATCACAATTCCCTTCACCTATTTCTACCACTATGTTACTACCTTCGACCTGTGTAGCCGTGAGAGCAGACAACTGATCATCAGAAGGGGCACTGGAAAGGAGATCCCATTGTCTCAACTTTTCCCTATCGATAATGAAGCTGCCTTCTTTTCGAATCTCATTTTCACTACTCTTAACGGTTTTCTGGTTCTCCAAGTCTTTTTGATGTTTATCGAGTTTGATGAAATTATCATTCACGTAGGTCACACCTCGGGTTATTCCCCTTGGCGATTTCTGTTTCTTCTTAGTGTCACCAATACTGTCCAGATCCTCCATCGACTTTGTATGTCTTTGACTTGCTGTTCTTAACCTTTCTCTCCATATCGAATCTTCTTCCCACAGGTAACTACCTTCCGATGCCAAAATGTCAGTTTGGTTTTCTTCAGTTACATCCTCCGGAACTTGACTTGGTTCAATACTATCGTGGAAGACATTTTCTATCAATCCCTCGAGTGAATGGGATCTACGTACTCTTGTCTCACTTGATATTAACACATCACTCAAAGTGAATTTATCAGTTTTTTGCACTGGGTAATAGTTTCTAGCTTTTGGATCCAACAAGTCGGAAACTTTGTGTCTTTTCAATGTATCAGACTCGTAGATATTCTTTTGATCGATGTTCCCAGATTTGTCAGTTAAGTTGAGAAAATCAACTGAAACTGATCTTGCTTCAGCAGCAAGTTTGAAAGTATTTTGTTCTATATCAGACCTTCGTTGGTTTGAATCTTGTGTTTCACTTTTTATTGGGTTTATAATATGGGTTATGTCTCGCTTACTCCCGTTGATCGTTTCTCTTTGGTTGTTCAATGTCAGCATAGAGGAACTACATTCATTGTTCAACATGTTTATCGATAAATCAGAATAGTAATAAGGTGCCGATATTTGGCAAATCGTATTTGATGTACTTACGTCAATGATAGGAGTAGACCTGTTGGAATTCTGTAAAATACTGCTAATTTCTGCTAAAGTTGAAGTACTACTTTCAGGTCTGCCCCCAGAATGAACGGACCTTCTAGTACTTTCATCTCTTTGTGTGTAATTCAACTCAGTGCTTGTATTATGAACTGAAGTTGCAGTGATCAGCAAATTTTCATATTCGGGAAAGCACACTTGATGAGCAGCACTATTTGAACGTGAATCATCATTACTAGCGATACTCAGATTTCTGATCTGCATGTCGTCAAAGTATCTTTCTAGTTCTACATTCTGAATACACTCTGACATCAATGTACCATCTAAAGATTCCAACTCGGTACAGACATCTTCTGAAACAGGCCTTCTTTTCAACATTGTTTCATAATTCGCAGTTTTTTGACGAAGTTCTATATCAGAATCGCTATTTGTAGAAAGTACACTCACACGAAGTTTATTTTCATCAAAATATTTATCAGACAAAGACACGGAAGGCTTATTTATATCCAACGATAAAGAACTGCCTTTCTCGCGCCTACAACTGACATGAGCAGATTTCTTCGCATATTTATTATTACTATTGAAGAATTGATCAGAATTTCTATGCTGTGCTGATCTTGTCAGCAAATTGAATCGGTATGTCTCGTCTTTCTTATTTTGCCCCTTCAGGAAATTGTATTCCTCAATATTGTCAAGATCATCCAAAGGTGGTGGAGAAGATGGAATAGGAGGAGGGGAAACCAATTCACTGTCTGAGCTGTCATGAAACTCAGGCGCGGTCTGTGCAGCACCTAGATAGTAGGATGCTGGTCTAAATGAGTCTGACAGACTGAATCTAGGATGGCTAGGTGTATCTAAAGAATCCAGATCTTTGGAAGCTTCATCATCAGCATCTGAACTGTCAGACTTGTTAGCACTTGTATTCCTTTTAGAGGCCATCAATATGTCTGGTAGTTCTTGGCCATTGTTTGATTTTCCTTCTGGGTTCTTGAGCTCCATGTATACTGGTTCGAGTTTCCCTCCATTAAAGCATACCAATTCATAAGGCTGTTGTTCGATTTGATTAGATTCAGAAGTGGGACTCAATATAGATGCTCCTGCATTCTGAGTCATTTCTACGTAATGGTTTTCATCAGTTTCTGATTCATTGAACAATGTTTCTTCAATACTGTTGGTACTGCTTCTTGGGCTTAAAACACTCCTCTTTGGTGACATTGGCATGTAGTTTTCCTCTATTGTAATTGTTATCATGTCAGATTCGGATTCTTTGTTAACGTTAGATTTCTTTTCGAAATCTGCTAAGATGGACATAACTAATGCTCCGTTGCTCTTCATTTCTGTTATGGGAGGTGTCGATTCGAACTTTTCGGAATATTCAGATTGGAGATGAGAAACTTGTGCAATATCGGAAGATTCTTTGCTGAACTGTGGTTTTGCGAAAGAGTTATCATTCTTATCTTTGCTTGTTTCTTCTTCACTATGTTTATCAACATAAACATTGGTGTACGGTGCATCATGCAATAGGTTAGAGTGTGTGAAAGGCTTTTCAGGTTCAGCGAAGGTACTAAGTACAGTGGTAGAAGTGGTTTGTGCAGGTGTAGGTAACTCAGGGTAATTGTCCAAGGTCCGTCCTGCCTGTGATTGCACAATTTCCTTTCTTCTCTCCTCATTTTCTGAACGAACCATAAAACAATTTACAAATTTTTACATGATCAAAGCCCTCATCCAAAATATAAAGGAGAAATTAATCTGTTAGTAGAAGTATGAAAGTTAATGACCTATATGTTTTCGAAATGTTAGTTACAGAAAGTACGACACCCAAATGGTTTCAGGCAGGAAGGACCAATGTAGACTACACCAAGAACCAGCACCATAACTAATAAACAGTTACACAACTACGAAGTTGACTACTAAATTATGAAAATGGAAATACCTTCATCATCTGAGGAATAACTGTTATACTGAGGTAAGTTTCTCCGGCAGTGTCGTTCATCTAAGTAATGTTCACCATGTTTTGGGTGCATATGGAATTTGTAATCATTTTCTTGATTCATATGATTTCCTGGGTAGCCCTTGTTTCCTTGTAACTTCCTGTTCAGAGGAGATTGTAACATCCTTTGTTTCCACTCCAATAATCTTCTCATTGATTCTTCTCTCTACAAAAATAAACACACCATGAGTGGGCAAAACTATGTAGATTTAGAAAGGTTAAGAAAACAAAACATGCCAAACAGAAAACCTTTAGAGAATATAAGGAACATATATAGCATATTATCAGAACATACAGTTATATAAAATGGTCCTTGTAGAGCATGATGAATCAATAGGTCAATTTTATCGCGATCATCTGTTTGAATGGGGTAGTCTGATGATATGAAATATGTGAAACCCAAATCATTACAACAACAATTCACAACCAAGTCCCAAGGCGCGGTCATATAGAACAAATAGATATAGCATGCATCACATTACCTTCCTTTCTCCTTCTCTGATCATACTTCTTTTATCAACTGCTGGTCTATCCATTTGGGGAGTATTCTGAGCCAATCTGGCACTAGCTGATCTAGTGAACTGATCGCAGTCCCTACTCCTTGGATTCGTACCGAACATCTCCCTCCTAGCATAGTCAGGACTAACCGACTCCTGATGTGAACAATAATCCATATCAACTTCCTTGGACAAAGAACCTTCACTCAAAACACTCCTGCTTCTCATTGGTTGTGGCTCAGGAGTATCGGGGATGTGTAACTTGTTGAAATTAACAGGTTGTGTGCTTGACCGAATAAGAGGAAAGGTGTTATCATGTTCTGGGTACCTAGCCGAAGCATTTGTTCTAGCATTAACATCAGTCTTATACCTATTAGGCATTTTCTGCAGGTACTGTGCAGATTTCCGCATCTTCTCGGCATACAACTCCTCCGAGTAGAAGTAGTTATCGCTGTCGTTCGCGTTCCTGTTGATGTCTAGACTAGACTTAGGCCTAGGCTGCTGCCTGTTGAGCGCAGCCGTATTCGATTGTCGATGATTGATTTCGTATTCCAGAAAATCGGCACTGTGTGGTCTGGCGATGTTCGCATTAGGCAGTTTTCGTATTTTGACTAGTGGGTACTGGAGCATATCCATTGGACCCATCATGTTGACAGGTGTGTAAGCTCGGTAGGCCGGACTCAAAGGTGTTGGTGGGTTAGTCTTCTTCATAACATGCGTGTACGCCACTGGACTCAGCGGTCTTTTATACATGCTCTGCTCTGCGTATACATCTTCATAGTCTGTAGGTTGTCTGTACCTATTCGGGGTTAGCTTGGACCTTCCATAGGTATCAGGAGTCCTCCGTTCGACACTATGTACATGAATCTCCCCAGTGGGAGTGAACATATACTCCCTTGGGCTATCTTTTGTACCGTACACACCAACACTATTGCCATAAATATTCACAGGGGATTTGCTGATGTTCATTGGTTCGATATACTGGGGGTTGTACCTATCTATTATATCTGGGCTTGGGGAAGAGTATCCATCATTCAATCTTCTTGGTTTCGGAGGAGCATTGGCATACAGTGGTTGATTGTATTGACTTTGTTCTTGAGGACTCGCATTTAGCATATTGTTGGGTGAATGTGTTTGGGAATGAGTAATTTTCAGATTGGACGGCTTGTTGTATATTTGAGTTCGAGAGTTGTTCTGTTCTGGAGTATCAGTAGGTTTGGTTTGTTGGATATTATCAACAGCCTTCACAAGACGCTGTTCATTCTCACTGAAAATAATAATATGCATTACTCGAGTAGACGCATAAGATCAGTATAAATGTGTAAATAACTGTTTGGCAGCACACTCATCTAGCCAGGGTACTGCGACCGTGCTGAGTGCTATTGGTTTTATTGAAATCAATATGAAATATAATCGTTTTCGTGAAATATTTTTCGTTTCTGCTAAGTTGCTGATTGTACTATTTTGAGGAAATATTAATACATAGTTTTGAACTAAACGGGCTGTAAACTGTTGAGATGATATTGATACAGTCATGTATTCAAATAAATGTCACCAATATAGAATTCATTCACATTAGCACCAGCGTTAGAGGGTTCGAATGGATAGATGTTGAACCTATTGACTAATAAGGCATATAAACTCTTCACTTACTTATTCGTTTGAAGCATGCAGGCCATGTTGAGCACTCTCACCCACTGCATCATGAGCTCTTGCGAATCTGCTGCCAATACGTATGTTCGCATATTGGCGTGTTCGCATTTGAATGCATATTTTTTGCCAATTTTTTCTTCGGGCTTACAGATCGACACCTTGTAGGACGGAAGTAAAATTGAACCCAGCAATTTTTCTTCCTCTAATCCTGAAAGAGAAATGGAAAAGGAAATTATATTTTTATGAGTGAGAACTGGGATAGCTCCTTCAGGAACGGAGATGATCCAGGTGATTACATGGGGGGGGGGTGCATAGGAATTCATGTCGAATGTCAAATATCTTACACAGTGTATTCATGAAGTTCTGAACTTTCGACCTATTGAAAGGTATTCGTGCTTCAATGAAAATGTTGATAACTAGTTTTGGCATTTCCTTCATCGCTTATAATGGAACTTCTATATCACCAATTTAGCAAATCATGAGACAAAAACCCTCTGGTCTGGTGGAAATTGTTTCATGCATGATAGTTGGGCCTTTTCAGACTAAGAGATTCTGGGAAATTTCTATGTCAATTTCCGGTACACCTTTATTATTGTAGGAGTCAATTGTGATGGAAAGTAGATGTTGTTGAATGCCTTCGTCTTCATCAAATAATTCGATGAAAAAAATAGAAATACAGAAAGTAGGTACAGGCAATCATAAAAAAAAACACGGAATATTTCTGATTACCCTGATCATGAAATGTCCAACTAATCTCAGAGAAGATTTATGTAGTAGTTAGATGCTAAATGAAGCGAAAGTGATAGTAGATTATTTTATTAGGATCAAAAGTAACACTTTATTTGACAAGCGAATTTTGCATTCGCGATGCGGGGCGTCTAGCGAAGCCGAGCCAAAGTCACCTTTGATCCAAATGATACATGCTATTTTTTCTGCAACCGATGTGACTTACTCGACAGATCATTATAATACCTTAATTATAATATTTAATATATATTTACACTAGAATATTGGTGGACGATGACTTTACTTTGTTATAATTTATGTTGATATGCATCATCAGATACTACAGGCACAAATTCAACAATATACCCAAAACGTGGATGCCGGGCCATATGTATGCAATGCAACAAATAATCCGTGTGGTGAAAATATTCTACCTGCATTTACAGATCAGGTTTATTCAATTTTCAAGGATGTTCGAATTGTAGTTTCAATATAAATACAACCACAGAGTGACCCATTTGTCGACTATGTGACTATATATGGTGGAATTATAATATGGTGTGGAGTATGGTGTGCTTCGACGCAACTTCGTATACGTCACTACGAGTAAAACAATTCCGAGCTCGCAGTCATCAATTTGTCCGAGTCGCCGTGATCATTTTGGTACGATTATAGACTCGCAATGACGTTATGCGCAGAAAAGACGAATTCAAGATACGTGAGTAGCACACCATATTATATTTCCACCATGATTTGGACCAGGTGTCAGCCCCAATAGCAAATACCGCGCCAGTGCCAGGTAAAAAGAAGTGGAAAATGTTAGGTTAGTGAGCATATCAACAATAATAATAGCGATTATTTATTTCTCTCCTTATTCCACTGTGTTTGGCTCGGTGATCGAATAAAGGTAAACAATATCGTTGTGTGAGACAAAAAAGTATTGCTGGCCGTGATTATTCAAAAATACAAGTTAATCAATCAATCAGATTCCTATAATGAATGGAATACAGATCAAGCAAGTATGTGAATCTGATCAAAACAAAAATACTTAACTCTAATATGGTGTATTCATGTCTCCAGCATGGGTATGAAATGCCAAATCTGCCGAAATCGGGAACAAATCAGGTATGCATCCCAACCCGAATAAGCAACCATAACATTGTTCATAGATGAAAACCCAAAGTCATGGGTTTTCATCTATGAACTACACCACTCCACTTTGAGTTACCATGGACTTCTTCCAAAGATTAAAAACATAACAATATTGTTTATTCTTGATGACCTAACTCATCGGTTTTAGTTCCCAGGAACTCAAGTTCAACTTTAGCTCCTAGGAACTAAAAGTGTTGCCCAGCAACATACCTATGTCTGTGTCAGTATTAGAAACGTCAACTCAAGAGCTAATTTTGGTATCAAAATGGGAGACTTTTGTGTCGGTTGCAGAGAAAAGTATATATACATATCGGTGTCACCAACCTTGACCTCATATCTCAGTAGCGCGATCTGGTGGACAATATCCAGATATGTTAGCCGTCAATCCCGAAAATCGAAGCGTAAAATTCTTGTGCAATTAATCTAGGAGAAGATTTCCACATGAGGATTTTTTGTCATCAGTTATAAAATCCGTTATTTAACCAGCAAATAAACGAACCTGTCCCCCCTGAGTTGCTCTGAATTCGAAGCTCATTTGAAATGCAATGACAGTAAAGTTTAGAATGAAGGCCAAAAAGAAAGATTATATCAGTGACGTTACTGTGACGTTTTTCAGGACGTGATAATGACGACATGAACATGATTTCGACTATACGTTTATAGGTGTAATCGAAAATGTTACTTTTATGAAATTGCCGTGACGTGTCGGTGACGTCAAAAATCACGTTGGGCGGTGAAACTAGTCGTTCAGAGTTTGTCGAAAATCTGCTATTTGATTTCCAGTTGTGACAAGGACTTCTTGTAACAATTACTGCGGGCGGCTATAAAGTTCATGTGTTTATAAGGAGCACGATATGTAGGGACTTGATAGCAGTACCGATGCATTACCCCTATGATTTTTTTTATGTTCTGGTTCCCACGAAAAGGGATATCCTGTAATGTTCAGAGAACCAAGGGAAATGAGGTAGGAATTGGTGTTCTTCTTAAATTTCTGGAGGTTATATGCCTCGGGGAACACCTCCCTTGGCAATGTGTTCCAGAGCCTCGCTGTTCGTTGGATGAATGAGTCATTGGAAAGAGATGTTCTGCAGGTCTCCAAAGTGACCACGAAGAGGTGCGAAGCCTCAACTCGACGGGATAATCTCGCGGGGACTGCCAAGGGAGGAACAATTATTGATATTTCTGAAGAGCATCGTCCATGAGAATATCTATAAAATAGAGCCAGATCGCCAACTTATCTACGGTGTTCCAGAGAAGTGAGTGAGTTTGTGATCGAGGCATCCCCCACGAGACGAATTGCCCTTTTTTTGACAGAATCGAACAGTTTCAGGGTATGTTTGGGTATTGCACTCCAAATATGGGAACAGTATTCTAGGACAGGTCGGATCTGTGCCTTATAGATCATAAGCAGCTGACTGGAAGTGAAATAGCTCCTGGCCCGAAACAGAAAACCAAGTTTTTGGGATGAACTTTTAGCAATTGATCTCAAGTGATGTCTTCAAAGGTATGGTAACTCCTGACAAGCTTATGTTGGGCACAGTGAGATCGGCTTTCCTAGAAAAAAAGGCATGCTTGTGTTTTGTTTGCATTGAAATCTACCAAGTTATTGGATCCCCATTCGAGAATTGTTGCCAAGTCCATATTAATGTTGTCAACATTTCTCCCTTCTGATTTGCCTGGCTGGAATTGGAGCTCTGGAAGAGAAGGCGGTATGGAGGGTACAATCATCCGCGAAGCTGTGTACTGGACATGAAGTTGCTTCCAACAAATCGTTGATATGGAGTAGAAATAGTGTTGGTGTTAGAATTGATCCTTGCGGAACACCAGCATTCATGATGGGAGAGTCAGATAAAACTCCGTCGACCACTACATAGGCAAGCCATAAGATGGAAGCTTGGCGAGGAGTCCGTGATGCCAGACTCGAACGAATGCCTTGGAGATATCAAGTGCCACGGCTGAGGATTCACCATATTTTTCAATTTATTGCTGCCATATATGTGAGACGTAAGCGAGCAGGTCACCAGTTGATCTCTGGTGGAATATCGCAGCTCACTGTATGCAAGATTCCATTGTATTCCGAATGTGAATTTTTTTCACCTACTTCGCTGGGTGAAAATATCTAATAGAGAAATATACCTATAGGAGTGATTCAATTCAATAGTATGAAACAATGGAATCTATTAAATTAACCAAACTGAAAGAATCATTGTTGTCTATTCACATGCCTACGCCACTGTGGATCGACTCCCACACTAATAATTATACTATCGACTATCGACCTTGAACTTGATGCGTACCTAATAGTATAAATAGAAAATAGGGTAGATGTAGATGCACTGGTTAGCCGACTGGCAATGATTCCAAATGTATGACAAATTGACAAAGTGATATTCATCATACAGGACGTGGAAAAAAATTCTGAATTGAGAAAACCTGCGATTGAAGGTCTCTGAAAATAACAAATTTCTATCGTTCAAGTTTGAACCCCTTGATTGGGTGAAAGTATTGAAAAGGAATATTCTCAGATAAATTATATATGAACATGAAAAAATGTATACATACCGGGTGTCAACGAATCTATTAGACAAGTCATAACTTCTAGACCATTAGGTGTATCAAAATGAGATTTGGTATAGGTAAATGGTATGTGAAGAGGAGAGTTTTCACATATTTTTCACTTTCTAGTCACTTCCGGTTTCACCGGAAATGGCTCCGGTTCTACATTTTTAAATGGAACATCCTATATATTGTAACATTTTTGGATTTCTGAGACAATTCTAGATCAGAATGTGACATTTTCGAAAGTTTTTTTGCCTACTTAATTTTTTCGGAGTGACCTCGGGTGATATCAAAAAATTACAATCGCGAAGTCTTAGTGACAAGTATGATAGATATGAATAAGACAAGTTGGCAAAATTACATTTTCGTCTCTAACTATTATTTTTCAAATGGCGACCATTTTTTGACAAGCACTTTCCGAAAAAAGGATATTTTGACGAATCTAACGATACTAATTTATTTGCGATTGGATTACAAATAAGAACATAAATTAAATATCACTGACGGAAATACTACTTTTGAATCTTAAATTCAACGTATGTACATCAGTTCTGTATTTTATTTTATTACATAAATAAGGAGGGCATTTAGTGAATATAACATTATGGAATAAATTCACTGCATGGATTTTACGTCTTTCTTCCATGCTCAACCACTGGGTTTCCTTCAATTTGAACAGAGATTATACATGTATAATCTCTGATTTGAAGGAGATACTTCCATATTTGCGAATGCCATAGATGAATCTTAAGCACGATTTTTGAACTTTCT